GCAGCTCAAGGTAGCACCTCAGGAGGGCACTGAAGTCTTTGGAGGCCCACTGGGGGCCCTCCAGGGGGCCCCCCGAGGGCCCCAGGGGGCCCCCAGGGGACCTCAAAACAGTACCCACGCCGGAGTTGTCTCTGTTGCTTCCGCGGGCTGCATGCAGCATGGGGACCTCGAGTTTGGGGCTTGGGCCCCTCAGGCCTCCCGCAGCAGCAGCAACAGCAGCAGTTGTTGCTGCTGCTGCAGCAGGAGCAGCAGGAAACGGCGCTGCGTTCTGAAAAGCGGCTTGCTGCAGCAGCAGCTGCGGACTGATGCCGCTGCTGCTGGGGGCCCCGCGGGGGCCCTGGGGCCCCTGGGGCCTCTGGGGGCCCTGGGGGCCCCAGGCGGAGCTTTGCTGCAGCGAGGACCTCTCAGCAATGGGTTGGGGGCCCCTGGGGAGGGTTTGCCGCTGCAGCAAAGAAGGTTCAGCAGCAGCAGCAGCAGCTGCTGCTGCTGCTGCGCCCTGCTGCTGCGGGAAGGCCCCACACAGACGCATGCTTAGGGGGGCCCCCCCCTTCAGCGGGTCCTTGAGGGGCCCACTGGGGGGCCCCCCGAAGGGCTCTTGCCAAGTAAGAGAGGGTATGGTGAGGTACTGCTCCGCAGCGGCTGAGACCCACTGCTGCTGCTGCAGCAGCAGCAGCTGCTGCTGCTGCTGCTGCTGCTGCTGCGCTTGAGCTGCGATAGGCCAGGGGGGCCCCGGATACTGCAAAGGGAACCTTTCTGGGGCCTCAGGGGGGCCCCCCTCCTCCCCAGAGTCCAGGGGGGGCCCCCTGCTAGCAGAGGCTGCGGTGGAAGCAGCAGATAGGAATGACCCGTGGCGAGCATTGGGGCCCTCTGCTGCTGCTGCTGCTGCGGTTTGCGGCTGCGGCGCCAGCAGCACCTGCTGCTGCTGCTGCTGCTGCTGCTGTTGCTGCTGCTCATTGAGGGCCGGGGGGGCCCCCCCCAGCGTGAGGCGGTAAAGGGCCCCCGCGAGGTCCAGCGGGGAGGCCTTAAGAGGGTCTGGACCCAGGCGGGGGCCCTCCTGCCATGGGGGCCCCTCGGAAAGAACAGAAGAAGTGAAGGCGGCCCCCAAGAGGGGGGCCCCCAGGGGGTCGCCTAGGGAGGGGCTGCCAGGGTCCAGGGGGGCCCCCGGACGCGGCAAAAAGAAAGACAAGGGGGGCCCCTCCCCGGACCCCAGGCGGCTCCCCGCAGTGGGGGTTCGGGGCTCCGAGCTGTCGGGGGGCCCCCCCTCACATTGGGGGGCCCCCTCTGCGTCGGGGGCCCCCGAGGCCCCCGGGGGGCTCTCCGGGGGCCCCCCTCCCGGCCAGAGGGGCCCCTCGGGCGAGCCCGGCGCCGTGGCCGGGGGGCCCCCCGGGGGGGCCCCCAAGCCCGGGGCGGCCTCGCCCTCTGCAGGGGGGGCCCCCAGAGGGGGCCCCTCCTTCAGGGGGGTGTGGGGAGGCGTGGGGAGGGGGGCCCCCGGGGGGGCCCCCCCCACCCCGGGGCTCGCCACCGACTGCTGGGGAGAAGGGGGGCCCCCAAAGGGGCCCTCCGGGAGGGGCCCCTGGGGGGCCCCCTGCAGCTCCGATAGCATCTCGAGAAACGTCGCGGGGGCCCCCTGCAGCAGGGCCCTTGCTTGCTGCTGTGGGGCTTCAGGTGTACAGACACTGGAGGAGACACGGAGACAGCAGCAATTCAACGAGGGGCCCCCTTTTTAAAGGGACAAGGGGGGCCCCTTGAGAGTCAGAGAGTTGTTGGGGGGTCTGCCGACAAGGGCACACCATGCATCCTGTCTGCACACGCCGAAACCCAAACCCTAAACCCTAAACCCTAAACCCTGAACCCTGAACCCTCGTCCTGCGATTTCGCACGGGCCAAAAAAGAGACATGGAACGCCTCAGTCTCCTCGCGAGAGACACCCCACACACGCTGGAGGCCTGGGGCTGCAAGGTCCCTTGCTGTCTCGCAACAGCAGCAGCGGCGGGAGGAGCCGG